GCTTTTTTAATGGCATTTATAGTATGAAATATATTTTATTGTATGGAGATTATCGTTTCCACAAATGATGAATATCAGAAATCAATTTGAAAAAAAAATATTTTCGATATTTCTCAAGTCTTTGATGATGAATGGTGGAATGATTCCTGCTTATCACCAAAGTGGCCAATATTGGCATAAATGACGTTTGAAGTAATAGATATTCATTTAAAGGAGAATTTGAAAGTTAGTAAGCGCATCTTTCAGTATTTTTTGGTAATTTTCAGAGTTATAATTATCAAGAAAATTTTACATATCTTTAACAAACCAAGACCATGTATTGGAATTAATCTCAATCACTGATTTTTTAAGTTGGATCTTTTATAAGTTGTATTATCTGAGTTCTATCAAATATTCCTGTTTTCAATTTCTTTATTGATTGCAGATAATTTATTTGCCATATTATTAAATACAAAAACTATTTTAATTTAAAGCTTTCGTAAATTGTTCCAATAGTCCTTCTTTTTATTGCGTTGTCTTCTTTCGAAGGTTGGTGATCCAAATGGCAATTGTAGCTTTGGAAACTGCTGCACGAAAGATTTCTGTGTATGAGCGGTCAAACTATCTCCTCAGATCTTTCAGCCACGAGTTTTGGCGTCTTCCAACCGATCTTTTGCTATGCACTTTATCTTCCAATATGATTTGGAGTTGACAACGTAATAATCAAAGGAAAGAATAACTTCAAATACTTAGGGTTTGTAATCACGAAAAAGGCAACAACAGAGGAAGGAATTACACAAATATTAGGACAAACAAAAACAGCAATCCGACAACTTAACTCAGAATGGTGGGATAGACACCTAAATACGATGAAAAAAACACAGATTTATAAAACATTAGTGCGAAGTATTATGACATATGGGGCTGACAATTGGATTATAAACAAGAAAAACAGCAATAAGATAGTAGCAACAAAGATGGAATGCCTGCGAAGATGCTGCAGAGTAACAAGAATGGATAGGAAAAGTAATGACGAAATAAAGCAAAGAACATCAATAAAAACGCTGCAGTATAAAATCCAAAGTAGGTATGTAGCTTTGAAGTGGAATTCGCGAGTTAAAGAAGTCGACCAATGGATGAATAGTACAATGAAAAATATGGCTCGATCATGCCTAATCATTAATTGAGCACTTGATTTACTTTTTGAAAAACATATTAGCAATTTACGTTATTTTTGGTATACATTGTATGGCTAAAGGCACCTAGTGTATGATTTGAATATATTGGTCGCATTGCTCCTGTTGTGATGCTTTAAGTTAAGTTAACATGCTCTTTTTCTAACTTGCTGTACCGTACTAAAGACGACCAATAGTCAGAAATACATATATACAGTTGCCTTCCATTGATATACTATTTTGTTTTTCCTGTTTTGCGAGACATGCCATTACGTATTACTTTTATTATCCACTTGCATTAACCTATTTTCTTTATGAATCGCTAACTGCTGAAAGGCAACAAGTCCAGTTTTACCAATTTTTCAGGAGAGACAAAAAACTTGGTAAACTCAAACACACTACTGGTATTAATTTTTTGCACTTAAGGTTTATGTGATTGGGCATTCTGGACTACTACCTACTTATAAAATATTTAAATATTTTAAGAGGAGAGGGTAGAGAATTATTTGTGTTAAGGACATTGTAGTAAACAAGAAACTTTAAGAAGTTCTAAGGAAAACAATCAATATATAGACAGAATATATAAAGCAATTAAATCATAAATTAAAACTTTGAAGAAATTTTCAGTTTAAGTTTTTAGTTTTCTTCTGTAAATGCCAGTGTAATTGGCCATAACAAAATCGGATTCCAAAAATTCATTTTTTCTTCCGTGGTGTATACCAATGTTTTCTTCATGTCTTCTATTTTCTTGTTGTTAATTGGAAGTACAGTTGAGTATGCTCTTCTAGTAGGAGCCTGAATTGGCTGTACTGCATTCGGTAGTTTGAATTCATCCATTATAAAGCCGCCGATGTTCATCTTATATTGAACCGTGTTAGGATTCTTTGATGAAAAAGTCATTTCTCTGTATTGTGATATGACAAAAGCCCTTTTTTGGTTTCTTGGGACATTTTTACCATACCAATCATCACTTAGGCAGGTTTTTTTATATAAAACTGGGGCCACCATGAACTGAAATCAATGAAATCATCAGCAGTCATTTTAATAACAGAAAATTTGCCGTAAATTTTGGATGATTTCATTAAAGTTCATCAACCCCATTAATAGTATATTTTCGTTCTTCTTGCTTTAATTTTCTTCTGATGATGCCAAAATCCCTATCATTTAGCATAAAAGAGTGGCCCCTAACAAGAAAGGTTAGTTTGACTTCATTAAACTTTTTTATCTCACACAAGTACATCATCAGCATGCGAATCACAGTATTATTTTTATTTTGCCCTGCGCAGTTGTCCCCAAACAGATAAAGGTTTTTTGCACCACTGCCAATTTTTTTTATGTACCAATCTAACATAGTACAAACTTCGTTTGAATCTTTACTCCCTTCACCTTCATGACAGACAAAAATTGTACATTCCCGTGCCGCGAGATTATGCACACCAAAGACGTTTACAGTGAACTGTCTAAGGTAATAGTTATCTTGGGCAGGAATACAAGGTAGAGATATGTTAGCCATAAAATCTATGCAGATGCCAAAATTTTCTTCAAGCTTATTGACACACTGCGTGGTCACTTCTTTTAGTGATTCATAGAACTTTTTAGATTCACACTTGTGTACTGTTAGCTCATCGACAGCTGTTCGCTTTGCATTCTCATTCAATGTACGGGAGTGAATCGGCAAAATCATTATATATGTAAGATATAGGTAAGAGAGAGACAGGAGATATATTTTCTCTCTTTCTCTCTCGAGAATAAAAATGTTCCTTTTTTAAATATATTTAATATTTATAAATATTATTATTATGTTTCCATTCTGTTCAGATTTGTCTTGAGCCTCGTTAGGCATGTTAAATTATAAATTAAAACTCATAAATATCTCAATAAAGATCAAATGTGCACTTATATACACAACAAACAACAATTTCTATCTGTTAATGTCAGACAAATTGACAGTTGTATCACGAAACGATATTTTTCTTTTATTAATATTATTATCATGGTAAATTAAACATATGCGTAACTAAGTTATGTATATTGTCATTTTTAAATACTTATGAATATTGCATTTTAATTTGTGTTGTATTATTATATTGAATTATGTTGCAGTGTATTGTATTGTATTTTTATATTAATAATAAAATAAACAATGAATTGTACTGCAGAGTATGTGTATACTATATACCTATATACCTATGTTTCTCTTTCTGCTCTCTCTTACCTGTAGCATTGCATATGTAATGATTGTGCAGATTGACTCCCATATAAATTTGTAACGGCGAACGCGTGTATAGAGGTATAACTTCTACCGGCAGTCCCACTGGACTGTCACACCCTTTTTTTTATTTTTAAATTTAGTTCCTCACATGTAACACATGCATCTTTAACTGGTTGGGCAAAGCCAATAGAAGGGTAATTTTCCTTGAAATATCTCCAAAAAAACTTGTAGGAGAGCCTTTTCTCAGTTCCTAATGTTGAAATAAGGAAACTATGTTCTTTTATAATGAACATCTCGTACATGACTTATAAATTTATATTAGCTGCAAAATACTTTCTTTTTTTTTCCTGTAAAGTGATGTACTTTGGTGGGGAATGATTCTACATGGACCCTTAATTTAGACAGTACGGACCTAGGTATTGCATTTCCTGAAACGTTTTTTCCTCTGTTGTCAGTTGGTGTTTCATACACTGCTTTGCAGTGTATCCTTAAGTTTTCATAAATCCATTTTTACATACTTTTGTACGTTTTATATTGTGTATTACATAATAAATCACACTGAGAGCCTTGGGTTTCGCGGTTGACGCACTAGACCTGGGTCTTTCCCTTGCAATCTGACTAATTTCCATAACAGATTGGATGTAAATGTCCTGTTTCGTTTTGGTTGTCATGTTATATAGTTTGGCGGATATTTCAATCATATCTTTTTCAGTGAAAACTCCAAGGCAATTTTATTTGCAACTGAAACAACAAAAGAATTTATTGTAACAGTTATTCAGTGAAAAAGATATTGGAGATAAGTAAATGACTTTGAGGTTAGGTTGTAGTAGCCTAATATTACTTCGAAATACATGCAATATAAAATTATCAGTAAAATGGTATTTAAACCAAAATGTACAAATTAACAACAATGAATAAAATAATATTTACCTGCAAAAATTTGAGCCTGGTTTTTTAGCTGGTACAGTTTTTCCAATCAAGTTTTCGTGTTCTTGTCCAACCACTTTAGACTTCTTTTTTATTTCCTTTGAGGATAGTTCGAATATTTGCCATGCAGTTCTAGCGCCGCAACTGTTTACCGCAGAAAGAGAACTTGTCCTGGACTAGTTTCCTTCTGCAGTAAATAGAATATTGAAAGCGTTACCATGCCTGACGTGTTTCCTTTTTGTAATAAACGTTGAGTTTTGCTACTGGAAAAAAAAATTTAATAAAAAAAAAACTTCTGTCTGGACACTTCGTCTCAGGACCATTTTACCTATGTAGGGTCATACGTCGCCATGTTACCAATTCCAACGGTAACTTAAACATCCTAATCTGTAACCATATATACTGTAAAACAACTGTAAATTTATAACATTTAAAGGGTTTTGACCCATATATTTTGGTGGCTCATAGCATGTATACCTCGTTTACACTGATGATGGATTTAACAATCCGAAAACGTTTTGTAATGTAATTGTGATAGCCCGTTTGGGCATTTTATTATATACCTTTTATAAAGGATTTGAAATAATTTTTTTTTTAATTTTAATAAAATACACAAAATTCGTACATATTGGACATGATGCCTTTCTGTACTTAGCGATTCATATATAACCTAACAAAGTCTTATAAATGCTTGTTACATTTTGTAGGATCGTACGTTTACTCGGTCGCGCCGTTTGAGCCACGAACACGTAGTAAGTGCATGAACACATTTTTTTTTTATAATTATATAGCGCACCATTTTATTTCCACGCTTACTTTTTCCGCTTCGCCTATTTCTTTCGCTTTTGTTTTGTATTCGGTTGCAGAAGGCGTAGTTAGATGTGATTAAACGCATACATTATTCTGACCTGCTAAGCTGAAAGGTCCTATCTACCAATTGTGCTATTTTGAGAAAAACGCAATTACCTTTAGTTTGCTGCACCGTTCGTAATATTAATGATATCAAACAACTTTTAACGAACTTCATCTGCGTCTATAAAATTTTATGGGATAATCTACGGAAGTTATTACTTTAAAGCTTACATGAGTTTTGATAGATAGGACGGTTTAGCTTAGGAGTTTATTAAAAATGTCAGATAGGACAAGATTTTTTATAACGAACTTTTATTACATTTATAACGAGACATCGTTTTACATATAAAAAAATTTAATATAGCCATCTAATGTTGTAAAAAAACTTAAAATTCTCCATTTTCCAGTAATTATTCTAAAAATTTCTAGTGTTGGCTGGAATTATAACTTGTAGGATATTCAGCAAATTTTGCTTTCTCGCTTGACTAATTCTTCGGTTAGATGTTCGTGGAGGTGGAAGTATCACACCAGTTTTAAATGTACCTGCAGTTAAAAAGTTCAGTTCTGTTAAATCTTCTGTGTTATACGAGTTTTTAATGTTTTCCCGCTTCTCGCAAGAATTGCATTGAAATATTATTGAGATAGCACACTAACTTTTTTAATTTGTATTTTAAACTGAAATCTGTCCACTCATAGAAATGTGTAACGTCTAATGCTACAACATCGGTCTGTTTTGTTAAATTTAAAACACATTGAACATAATCATTAAAATCCCAAACAGTTTTGGCCCTCTTTAATGACTTTTCGACCTGTTGGTAAAAATGGTCATAACGGACATAAACGTGTGTCTGCGCTCAAAATATTTTATGGTTAATTGTTTTAAGTTAACTTCGGTAGCATTTACCATGTAGACAAAAAAGCTGAACAAACACCAATTCTTTTCTGCCCCGAGCAATTATCCAGCCAAATTGTCATTGATTGTTCATTCAGTGACATTGAATGTTTTTTAGGAAGAATGCGTAGAAAGTAGATACTATATATTTCTTCCTGATATTTCTTTGTGCAACAGAATCTGTTTTTGGAAGCATTATCACTTTCTGAAGATCTGCTAAAACTATGAGGTCTGATGATTTTCGTTGCGATTCCGCAGCTCTTTCATATTCATATTACTGGCAGTAATATATTTATTTCTGTGAGATACATAGTTTTCACACACTACACAATTATGTGTTGGATTCATATGATTATCTTCGGTCTTATGGAGATCATATGCACACTGGAAGCACTCTTCACAGCCAAGTTGTGCAAACGATATGTTAAGTTTTACAATTTCCTGACAATCAGGATTCTTTATTTTGTAGTCATTGTACATCATTGTAATTGAAATTTCCGATGCTAAGTATGTACGGTTGGGAGCATGGTCCCGACGATAATGAGATACGGTAGGTCGAAAAATATTTTTCCAAAATTGATCATTACTTTTGTCATAGCCTAATGTGGCAAAGAAAAATTTTTTAAATACGTGCATATCTAATCCGTTAGCATCCCGTAAATAATATTTGTACGAATACTTGCGACGCGAATTAGTTCCAACAGTATTTTTTTTGTTTAGTTGTTTAACATTACCGTGCACAAACAAACGTTAAGCTTGCTTGTTAAATTCTCAATACTGTTTTTTAACATCTTCTCGTCTCGCTTCAATTTATCACTTGTGAACACTTCATCGTGCAGGTGTTTTTATTACAGAATTTTTTTATTTTGTGGTCACCAGCGACAGATGATAATTTCTGCTTTTTTCTCTTGGCAAGTGCTGTCATATTTTTTGTTCTCTTTCTAATTGTTCCTTTTTTGGTGTACATCTTAGCGTAATTGTTTTCTGCAATGTCTATGGACGAAATGACCATGTAGTCGATCATAGACTTAAATAATTGATAAATAGACGCATTATATTCGACTAAACTTTCATTATCAGACATAGCTGGAGTGAGTGTAGGACAGACAGTCGCCATTTTTATCACTGATACAGCCTTCTTCTCCAGACGCTGCAGATGGGGACTCTCTACAAATATCGTCTTGCTTTGGATCGTAGTCGGGATCATTGTTAACATTTTTGGTAGTGACAAGCTTTTTAATTGTGTAACCTTACAAAAATTGTAAAAAGTACCATAGGTCAAAATTTAATATTTATTGAAATAGAGACAAACTTAAAGTTAATAGCTCATTCATTAACAAACGTACATTTTCAATAATACGTCATTTTCTTAATTGTTTAATATTTTTGTACCAAATTGTAGATAATACTCTTGAAATCTTGTACTGTAAATTACTTATGGTATATAAAGAAATTTCTATTAAACAATGTTTAAAAAAAATCTAAAAAAGTATGTTTAAAATATTGAAAATAAACCGTTCCCCTCTTTAGTTCATAGATATCGTGTAATTAGTTTCCGACATATAGATAGTGTAAGCTCATCGTGAAACATCCTGTATGTCGGTTACTTCGTCGTTCTTTAGATATTTCCCTTTTTATTTTATCTTTCGTAGTTTTTGCTTCGGCGACATTCATCGTTCCATCAACCTCTGTTGCTTGTCTAAAAAACTTAAGTTCAATATTTTCATAAATAAAATAACATATGAAAAACTGTTCTCATCTATGTACAATTTCTCTTTCTATTATAAGCACACCCCTATATTGACAATAACGAAAAACAAAACTGACAGCACCACTTAAAAGAGTGGAAGTAAAATAACCACACCTAGTTCTTAATGGTTTAAGATTATTGTTCAACTGAGCTTTTTCGATACTATTATTAACCCTTTCATTACTGATTTCATTGTAGCGAAATAAAACAGTTTAAAATGACTTTAATAATATTCGTTGACACCTGGAGACCTAACAAAGCGATTTAATTTATTTTACATTGTTGCGTGTCCTTGTATCCTTAGAAAGGACATGGGACATATATGTCACTTTAGTGTTGAATGGTGAGATAAATAAATCCCATTAGTAAAGAAACAAACTTATATTCAAAATGAAAAAAGGTACATTTACACAAAAAACATTACTTCTTATGAATGATGTGGTAAAAAACAATTTTTGCATAGTAGCACATTGCACCCTGTACAAATAGTCGTAGTTCGAGTTTCTAATTTATTTTCTGAACATCTAAAGCACCTTCTCTTAGTAGGTATTTGTTATGGCAAATGATCATATGTTTCTGTCGTTTAGATGTTCTTCCAGAACGGTCACTTATTCGTCTTTTTACATTTGAAAATTTCGTATTATCTTTTTGTACACTTCTTTTATGCAAATTCTTGTAAATAATCCAAGAATTTACAATATCGTACATGACTGATCTTCCTCGGAAGCAGTAGTGCTTACATCCACACGATCAGGAGTGTTCTCAGGTATTTCATCAGAATCTGAGGCAGAATCGTCATCAGGCACATAATCAGGCTCTGAGGCATAAGGTTCTTCCTCGGATTCATTTTCAGAAATATTATTTACCAGTTTGTCAATTTCTTCTTGAAGCTCTTTTTGTGTTAGAAAACGTCTACGTGCCATAGTAAGTCTGTAACCAAACAATACGAATGGGATAAATACGACCCGGTAAACTACTACTGGGATACTAGAGTCCCGTTTAGAAATTATGGTAAAATCAATGAAATCTGTTAAAAGGCAGAGCATACACTTTTTCCTTACTTAAATTTATATTATTTACGAGTTCTTGATGCACGTGTTTAGTTAACATCAATTTTTAAGTTATAAACGTGATATGTAGGTTGCATACTACTGGTAATAAGTAAAAATGTTTAAAAATACGGATGCGTTCAAACATGGGCTTTGGAGACAAACAGATGCCAGTAGATTTTTTGAAATCCGCTGGGACGTATATGTCCCCACAGTAATGAAAGTGTTTAAAAAATATATTTTTTCCTGTTTGCAAATTAAAGCTGTACGTACTTTATATGAACATTTCTATATACATATATATATATATATATATTATATATATATATATATATATATATATATATATATATATATATATATTTGGTTTTTTAGGAGGTCCAAAGAAGAATAACAGAGCGAACGCAACTATTGGCTCGTTCACACACAGAGCCTCGAGAGCGGGCAATTGGATTCGTCGATGCTCTCCGCATACCGGGTGTTATTGAATTTTCTTTGGCATTATTCTTCTCGAAGCTGGTCAGTTATACGTTCCTTTATTGGCTTCCATTATATTTAAACGCATCAAGTAAGTCATTTAAATTATATAAGAAATGTAAAAAAGTATCTCATCTATAATTATAGTTCAATTAATATGAAATATTAATTATGTGATTATTTTCTGCAGTAATTAAATGAAAAAGAAATAAAGAAATATATGCATTTTGAAAAACAAAAACATTAAGGAATATTGAAACAAGTTAAAAGAAATATTTACTATTTTTAATGGGTATTAACCACATTGTAGTTCATTCCCATTATAAATAATAATAATTAATTAATAATAAAATAGTATCTACAGCGTAGAAAATAATACTGACCTAGTTTCTTGTTTACATTATTAATTGAATGTATGTTCTGTTTTGTTTTTTAGCTTCCATGAGTGCTTCACTTAGTGCAGATCTATCAGTGCTATTTGACGTTGGTGGAATTGTTGGAGCTATAATCGCCGGGTATTTAACTGATAAAACCGATATGCCGGCATGTACTTGTTCTATAATGCTGTTACTAGCAGCTCCAATGGTATGTAAAATAAAAATAACTACTTTGTACTATTATTAGTTTTTAATAAGGCCGATCTAAGTTAATATATAGTTAACTATTTATGGAATTGGCGGTTACTTGATGGGAATTCATATAAAATAATAAAACAAAACATTCTTGTTGTTCTTCTGGTGCAATCTATAAAGTTAATAATAATATTTATTCGATAGAATACTATAAAACATATAGATACCACCAAATTGACCAGAAAACTGCATAGGAATATCGCAGTCACTCTTCGCAATATTGAAAGATAAACTAAACATCATGTTGTTTCAATTCCCAACAATACTAAATAAATCTCTAAATCAGATAAACGATATCATTTCGACTCACACATTATTTCACTCTTACACATTATTTATTTTGTGAAACGATTCGATTTGTGATTTAAATCTTGTAGCATTGATTTTAGTTCATGGATATCTGTGCTTATTAGTACTATGTCGTCTGCAAAACGCAAATGGTTAAGATATTCTCCATCTATTTTTAATCTCTTTTCGGCCCAATTTAGTTGTTTGAAAACATTTTCTAATGCCAAAGTAAATAACTTGGGTGAGATGGTGTCGCCCTGTCTCACACCTTTGCCAAGGTCTATTTTCATAGTTTCCAGATCATCATCTATTTTTACGTGAAAAGTAGCATCATCGTATATATTCTTAAGGAGGGCAGCATATCTTGAATCTACTCTGGCGTCGTCCAATGCTGTTAAGAAAGCCCATTTCTCGATACTGTCGAATGCTTTGTGATAATCGACAAATGCCAGATGTAGTGGTATGTTGTACTCTATTGTTTTTTCAATAATGACCCGAATTGTTTGCAAGTGATCGATAGTGCTAAAACCCTTACGAAAGCCTGCTTGCTCCACTGGTTGGTATGCATCTAGTTTAGCAGTCAATCTATTTGTTATTATTCGGGTTAGTAGTTTGTAAAGGTGTGACAATAAGCTTATTGGTCGGTAGTTTTCTATATTTGCGGCGTCCCCTTTTTTATGGAGTAGAATGACTTCCGCATTTTTCCATGTCTTCGGCATTTGTCCTTCCAATAGGCATTTATTAAGTAATGCTCTTATTGCCTCTTCTAATGCAGTGCCTCCCATTTTTAGCAATGAAACGCATGTGACCTTGTAAATGTCCTTTCTCTCTAATTGGATGGATTTAACGATCATATTATTAGATATTGCGAATTGTGTTAGCCGGTGTCCATTATCATTTGTTGTGTCGTGCAAGCTATGCTTACCAATTACTTCTCTTAAATAATCTTCCTTACCTAGTTTAGCGTTGCAATCTCTCATCACTATTTTGACGTCGTGTTTTGGAGCAGCTTTATACTGTTGGCCTAATAATTCATAAAATTCATCCTTCCTATCGTCTTCGGCATCTTCTGTTGGGGCATATATTGAGAATATTGTGAGATTGAACTACTTACCTTGAGTCTAATATAGCAGATTCGTTTGTTTATTGGTATATCCAGTATTAATTGTTGAAGATAAACTTTGCTCGAAAGCCGTTTGCTGAATTTTAGTTCATTTAAAATTGAAATATTTATCCTGCTGTCGGTACACGGAATGTGTAACATTCTTCTCCAACATAGAACGCCATAGAAGAGAATTGTAAATACGCATTTCTGACTATTTGGCACAGTGTATGGTATTATACACTGAGGTGTATAATAAATATTAATTATTACACTATAATACCTCGATCACATCATGAGGAAGAGCGAAAGATATGGATTGCTGCTATTAATTATACAAGGAAAAGTAGAAGGAAAACGAGGACTAGGAAATCGAAGAATTTCCTGGCTGAGAAATCTACGTACGTGGTTTAACACACCAAACACACAACTTTTCAGAGCCGCAGTTTGCAAAACACAGATTGCCATAATGGTTGCCAACATCCGAAACGGATAGGCATTACAAGAAGAAGAAGAAGTATGGTATTATCAGTACGGTGCAGTTAAGTTAGAATAGAATATTAATTTATAAATTTTTTATGGTTTAGTATTCATTCCAATAAGGGACTGGGGGTTGATTCATCATCAACTAGCCTCTAACGTCCACTGCTGCACATAGGCCTCTCGCATGCTTTTCCACTTAGTCCGATTTTGCGCCATCTGAATCCAATTTGTAGTCACTCTTTTTATGTCATCTGTCCATCTCGTTGGGGGTCGATCTCTATTTCTGTTAGCTCGTATTCTGTATTCTATCACGTAGAAAAATCCCTAACATTATTCTCTCCAATGCCCTTTCTGCAACTTGTAGTTTACTCACTGTTGTTCTTGTGAGTGTTAGGGTTTCTGCGCCATAGGTCATCACTGGCAAAACACAATGATTAAATATTTTTCTTTTCAGAGACATTGGAATCTTATACCTAAAAATATCCTTCATCTTTCCAAATGCAGCCCAAGCGAAGTTTATTCTTCTTTTCAGCTCGATTGTTTGGTTGTCTCGACTTATTCTGATCTCATGGCCCAAGTATTTATAGGAGTCAACTGGCTCAATATCTTTGTCTTCTTCTGAGATATTTTTGTTGTGGACCAAAGTTGTCATAAATTGTATTTTTGAAAAATTTATTTTAAGGCCAACTCTTTGTGTGGCAATATGGAGTTCTTGGAGCATTATCTGTGCCTGATCAAAGCTGTCTGCAATAAGAACGATATCGTCTGCAAATTTAAGGTTATTTAAAAATTTTCCATCTACATTGATGCCCTTTTCGTTCGAATCTAGGTTGATTATGATTTGGGAAATACCGATATCGACCAATGCAAATATAGTTTTGGTGATATTATCGAGATAGGGATCTTCTGCTTGAGAGTAAGAAGAAGATTGGAAAGACGAATTGTACATGAAATCATGTATATGGTTGGTAGATTGGAGAAGATGCAATAGGCTCGGGATACTTAGGTGGGTGAGGGGTGATTCATCGGGTAAGATCATTAAGGTTCAAGTATGCCTCGTTAATTTGTAAAGATCCCAGAAGATATTATAAGCGTTCAAGTGCTTTTTGTCTTGGGGTATTATTATTGTTGAATCTAACTACTACCCCAGGAAATAAATTATATTCGAAGCAAAACCGGAAATCACAATTAAATGAATCTTAATTAACGTATTTTTTAGATGCTGTTCTATGAAGGGATAAGTATAGACCACATAGGATTAAATATGATCGTTCTGGTGATAGTAGGTTTATTGGTAAACGGACCATACGCCCTAATTACCACGGCGGTATCCGCCGAATTGGGCACTCATCACAGTTTAGAAGGAAATTCGAAAGCCTTGGCCACTGTCACGGCTATTATCGACGGTACTGGTTCGATTGGTAAGTAAATTTATTATACGTTGGTATTTTTGATGATCATAATCATTATTTAGCTTGTGTTTTTTATTAGTTTTATATCAGCATTAATTATTAACTTACATTATCTTGGTAAACTTAAAATAAACTGTCAAATTAGTTTGAAATAATAAGTTTCAGCTTTTGTAAAAATATCTTGACGACTTTAATGAATGTAGCCACTATGAAAATGATTGATTGATCTCTGGAACATATCTTACATAAATATGTTCGATATAATTAGCGTCTTCCGACTATGGTGGTCATGGCAGAAGGTGTAATGTCCTCATTGTTGGAATACTTCCAACACAAATTCATTTTTTGTTCCCTTTCACAAATCGTGCCCAAATGTTAGCAAATAACTTTATAGAATGTGCATATACCATATATAGTTAATGTGAAGTTCTACGCACATTTCGGTGAGCTAATCCTATAGTGGTGGGTAGATACACTTAACGATCCCAGTAAAGTTAGGTTAGCGACCCTGCTTACAAGAACCGTGGTTCACTTTCAGTCATTTTAACCGAGGGGATACCACGGATCAACCTAATCATGCTTGCCTAAGACGACAAATTTCCTAACCCATCGTAACAACCTTCTACCAACCTACACAGGCCAGCGTGGTACAGAAATGGCCAGATACCCGTAAAATGAGAAACAAAGAAAATGCAAACCCCTTAGCCTCCTTGCAGTGGTATCTTTCTTTGCTTCCATTTTGCTAATTTTGAATAGCACGAAAATTTTAAAATCACATAAATTTCACTTTTAAAAAACCGCAAAAATTTCGATCACTGACATTTAGGTACGAAATTGACAACGCTTTGTCAGTGATCAGTGGTCAAAGAATGGTGCAAAGAGAACGAAGCCTGGGTCTAGAAAGCTTTTCACTGATGTTTTGAAAGAGGAAAACATCGCAATTCATAAGCCCAGGAAAGATCTGGTCTAATCTGGTGTGATCTATGCTGCGATCAAAAGCTAGTTCTTGTAGATGAAAATACATTTTAAAAGCATATTAAAATGAAAGATGAAGCTAGAGCTGACAAGCGTGAAGCTGAAAAAAGTGCTAGCCATCAGAAACTGGTGCTTGCGATGGATATGCAGAGCGTACTTCTCAGTCCAAAAACTCTAGTATCTAAGATGTACTACAAGCACAAGTTACAAATCCATAATTTTACCATCTACGAAAAAAATAATAGTAATGTTACCCTGTATGTATGGCATGAGGTTAATGGTGGCGTAACCAGTAATGAATTCACTTCTTGCATAAATCATTTCATCTCAAACTTAGGTGGAGGCTATAAACATGTAGCCTTAATTTCACATGGTTGTAATTATCAAAATCGAAATAAACTTTTAGCTTCTGTCTTGAGTGATACTGCAAAATTTACGAATATTGCCCATTTAAAAACAGCAGTTTCAGCTATGCCCCAAATGTATTCGTCTGAAGATGTTGTCTGGAGAATGTCAGAAGAAATTCAGAAAATCTGGAAGTCAATAAATCGTGAAATGAATTTGTTTGGAAAATGTCCCTGAAGAAATTGACGAATTACGACAGCAGTATGGCAAGTTGCCCCATCCTGCTGGAAAAATTGGTCTCTAAATGCCAAATTACGTGCACGACAAAATTGACGTAAATCAGGAATAAACCATGTTAAAATTTGTATGTACCTCTGTTGATAAAGTGTGACTTGCCTACTTTTTTCTTCGATAAAGTATGGACTAATGATTGCGTATCCCGAAACTGTACACTAGACACTCACTTTTGCACAAGAGCAGCAATAATTGAAGATACAGAAAAATTAATATCGGAACTAATGTCAATAAGTGCTTTTTGAATACAAAATTTAATTTCTTCAAATTTGATAACATACTGTTCCATCTTGTTTGACAATCTAATTTTAGCGCTGTTTCTTTACCTAATTATTCTCTCACGTACTTTTGTAAATATTTATCAGTTTTAGAAGGTGAATTTTTAAATGCATTCACTACTTTCCGAATTTTTGAAACTAGAGATGATATACCAGTATGTCTAATATTTATATTCTTCTTCTTCGCGTGCCATATCAGAATTATCCTATATTGGCGATCACCATTGCGAAGGCTTCTTGATCTTCTGCAATATGAAATAATTGTCCTGCATTTGGTATCTGGTGGAGTCCATTCACGAATGTTTTTTTAACCAAGAAACTTGTTTTCTTCCTACACCTCTACAGCCCTCTATTTTGCCTTTAAGGATCAGTTGTAATATTTTATATCGACTTTCCCTATACTGGGACTATATGTCCCAGATAAGGCATTTTTCGATGTTTAACAGTCTTTAGGCAGTTCTCTATCTTTGTTGACGCTCCTGAGTACTTCTTCGTTAGTTAATATTACTACAAGTAATATTTATATTACAACTAAAAAATCGATGAATGCCTAGATGAAAGTATTTTTCTACTATCTCATATTATACATTTCAACTGTCAAACTTGTCTATGCAGTTGTCTATACGAAAACAGGCTTATTTTACTAACTTGATTGGTCTATAAAGTTGCCAGTTTTCAAAATAATGAATTTATTACTTTCATATACCGTACTGTATAAATAGAACCACTGTTACTAAAAAAATTCGTGTTTTTGGCAAATTACTATTTGTTTTGAACTAAATGTATTGAAATTTTGTACTGTTTATAAATTTATTTAATATTGTCTTTTTAAATTCAACTAATATAAAACGTGATTTCAGGTGCAGCAGTGGGTCCTCTTTTAGCCGGATTCGTGAAGGGTTACGGCTGGAAAAATGTCTTCGTGATGTTAATGATCTCTGACATTTGTGCATTATTTTTGCTAGTGAAGTTAGTCAAACAGGAAATTATTAAATTTAGGAATGCTCGTCGTGCAGGAATCCGAATAGAATAAGCCACTATTTTGTACAGAATTTATATAAGTATAAATAATATGTTATATAATTATGTATATACAGAATGGTCCATAAAAAGATGTATAAAGTACTGAATTTTTAATACTGCCCGTAATAATATTATATAAATATATTTATATTTACAAAATGTGTTATTTTTTTTATACATCATAAAATGTCATTCATAAAATTACACGATGTTCATTTTCCATACTTTCGGCACCATCATCGCTCATATCACATCAACAAACCGGAATCAAACTATAATATACATACCTCAAATAAACGTCAAAGTGTAAATACACGCGAATTTTGTGATTTAATAAGCCCTAAACACAGTTTATAGTTACATTCCTACTATAGTTTAATACATATAAATTAGTACTATAAGATAGGCAATAGAGAATGCCATCGCTCACTGCATAAAACTGGCAACGTCTTGGCGAAATTTCCATAAGGTTAGCATTGCATATAACTATAGTTTAGTCGTCGAAGCGATTGTCAAAGGCTCCATTTATGAAGTCTTCTAACGGGGGCGAGCCCCCCGATAAAATGCCATGGGATCAGGATGCGATTTATGATTGCAGTTATAGTTCCCATGGATTTCCATCCCATCAGCTAGAAAACTCGATAAGTAGTCGTAATAGCATTAATCAATTAAAAACCAATTAACTCACTAAATTCTAATGAGCCAGAAAAAAGCAGACCTTATATGAAAAAACTGATTTAGGGCCATTTCGCACTTTTATTGAAAACGATGATAAAAATTTTATAGACAAATTAAATGCAGTTAAGATAGGTGAAATATTATTTACCTTACACCCATAAATTGATAATTATATAAAAAAAATTGATTCAATTGGACGCAACCGCATTAACATAACATTAAAAAACTATGCTAGTGAAAATACCTTAATTACTTCTAAATTGCTTATTAAAAAAAATCTAATTGCATATATTCCGAAATTTCAATTATTTAAATTACGTGTATTTAGGTATATAGAATAAGATATATCGGAAGAATAAAAAAGATAAAATAAAAGAATTTGATCACCATTCAAATGGTAAATTCTCGGTGGAATATGTAAAAAGAATAAAGAGAAAAATAGTAACAGATGATAAAGCAGTTTTTAAACCTACAAAATCGGTAATTGTATTATTCAAATGTCAAAGTATACCAAAATTTATCGTAATTAACTATGTTTTACATAATGTAGAAAAATACCAGCAAAAAGTAATTATTTGCTACAACTGTTATAGGTATGGATACATGAGTAAGCAATGTAAAAGCAACCCTAGATGTCTTAAATGTCATGAGTCCCACCCTTCCTATTCTTGTCCTTCATCATCCTTTAATAAAAAAATGTCTCCTGTGAACATGAACACTTCACTAATGAATGGGAGATGTCCAGAATTCGATCGTCAAAAAAATAATAATAATAAAACATTATATGTCTGAAAACAGCTTGTTTGTCAAAGAAACGCTTAAATTATTTCCTAAAGTAACCTATGCGTCGATAACAGCTAATAATTCCTCAATAAATTCACATCAAATCCCAATTATGGACGCTCCCTCCTTTTCATATTCCCCTACTCAATTGTCCACATCCCCTAACCCCCAATCAGCTCGCCATCCCTTCAGGTTCAAACAGATATACAATAATAAAACCTCCAAAATCCAAATGACTCCTCCCTTCCTCACAAGACCCAATAGCAATAGAACATCAAAAAATTATAAAGTTAAACCCCATGTCCAACAGATCTGGCGGCATTTTCACTTCATCTTCTTATTTCACATTTCTTTTATAAGCTTTTATATTCCACATTTCTTTTATAAGCTGCTGTAATGCCATAATGGTATCATGACCACCTTCTTTATATAGTTTAGCTGGGAGATTATATTCCGGGTGATTTGTTTCTGGCTAGTTTTTTAACGGCATCTTTAATTCTCTCTTTAAGTCCCCTTCCCCCTCGTCTGCTCCACTTACCTCATATCTTTGGTCTTCCAGATTTTCTTCTTCTTCCTCCACATTAAGTGCCTGGTTAAAGTTAGAATCTCCTCATTCATTTTATTTTTTCCGTTCCTCTGTCTGTTTTCTCCTTCCTCTTTCACTTTTTCTCCTCCCTCTTGGTTTGCTGTTTCCCTCTTCCTATCCCATTGCTTCTGCTTGCACTTTTCCTAGCTCCAGTTTCTTCCACTTCTCGCGAGTTTCATCCCTTTCTTTCACTCCCCTCTTCTACTTTCTCCTTCATCCCCGCTGCTCCCTCTTTCGCCTTTTTTATTTTTCTTTTTCCTTCTCATCTTTCTTTCCACTAGTTGCGTCGTGCTGATGGGTTCAGAGGGGCCGTGCGCCCTTACCCCGCCAAGGCTATTTTCCCCAGGTTCGCCATCTACCTTGGGCATCATTTGTAGCCTACTATGTTTTCTCTGGGCCATGCACCCCTATGGCACGATGGTGTTACACCTTGAGGTTGAGGTGGCGGTATATTAAATAGGATTATGCATAGCCGACTGCCCTATATGTATCTGCCCATTGCTTCTGCTTGCACTTTTCCAGCTCCAGTTTCTTCCACTTCTCGCGAGTTTCATCCCTTTCTTTCACTCCCCTCTTCTACTTTCTCCTTCATCCCCGCTGCTCCCTCTTCCGCCTTTTTATTTTTCTTTTTCCTTCTCATCTTTCTTTCCACTAGTTGCGTCGTGCTGATGGGTTCAGAGGGGCCGTGCGCCCTTACCCCGCCAAGGCTATTTTCCCCAGGTTCGCCATCTACCTTGGGCATCATTTGTAGCCTACTATGTTTTCTCTGGGCCATGCACCCCTATGGCACGATGGTGTTACACCTTGAGGTTGAGGTGGCGGTATATTAAATAGGATTATGCATAGCCGACTGCCCTATATGACGGGTAGGGGTGGGTATCGTATGATATATTTGGGAGTATTTACTATCGCAGAGGGACAAGAGAGGACTTAGGTAATGTTCAGCGGACAGCTGCTAAAATTTGTCGCCTTTGACGACAACCAGAGAAACTGTGAAGGTATTCTACTATAGCGGCCCGCCTTATGTTAGTATCTGCATATATCCGCGGGGATATATGCAGATACAGTAAAACCTCCGTTAACCGAAATAATTGGGGGTTGGGGAGGTCGTTTGGTAAAAAATAACATTGTTTTTTACTAGTATTCTTGGTTAAAGTATTGGTATTGAAAAATACTATGAGGTGATTTCGTAATGTTTTCTAATAAGTAAATACAGAATAAAGTAATAACATTAAGGAAAATGAACAAGTTTAACATACTTTTTTAAAGAAATCTTATATTAGCTTGTTTTATATATATATATATATATCCATCGTTCATTTGCAGAACGTCGTGAGTTTGCCTCATTCCATCGTTCGACGAAACGTAAGGCAATCTGAAAAGGAAAAAACTTTATACAATGAAAACAAAAATTAAGAACCTAATCGTGTCCCTAACTAATTAGGCCCCTTTTCTTTGTGAACCATTTTCCATCCACTCCTGAATGTAGGTCTCTCCCAATTGCTTCCATCTTTCTCTATCTTGCGCCAATCTAATCCAATGTTTGCCTGCCACTGCTCTTATGTCATCTACCCATCTTTTTTGAGGTCTTCCCATGCTTCTTGTTGTCGTCCTTGGTCTCTATTCTAGAATTATCCGTGTCCAACGGTTGTCATTATATCGGGCTACGTGACCTGCCCAGCGCCATTTCATTTTTGTAATTTCTTTCACAATATCCCTAATCTTCGTTCTACGTCTTATCTCGGTGTTTCTAATCTTGTCTCTTAGTGATATTCCAAGCATGATTCGTTCCATTGCTCTTTGCGTCGTTTCTAATTTTTTAGCAGGTTTTTTCTTAAGGGCTACTGTCTCCAAGCTGTAGGTACAACTGGTAGTATGCATTTGTTATACACCTTTTTCTTTAAGTTTATAGGAATGGAGATGTTTTTCAAGATATATGCTAGTTTGCCGAAAGCGCCTCATGCCAGTTGTGTTCTTTTAATTTCAGCATCTTGATTTGGTTTTCCTAGTTTGATGACATGACCTAGATATACATAATGTTCAACGTTTTCTATGGTATGATTTTGTATTGTTATATTTGTCTGGTCTCGGCTGAGTATTTTTGTTTTGCTGTAGTTCATTTTCATTAAAAAAAATGAATTAATTAGGCCTACCGTATACAATTCTCATCCTTACGGCATTGAAAATCTTGTCGGCGGTCTCATGCTGCCTGCTGTCTGTTGGGTCGTCATCTTCGTCGTCTGATATGCTCAGGTTTTCTGAACGAAGGATCATATCAATGATGTCCTGGTCGATGAATTCACTTTCTGAGTCATTGGCTGCTAACCACTCACTTATCTCTTCTTGAATTTCGTCACATCCCGGCAAATTTTTTATTAAAGGTTTAATTTCTTCTGTCGTTTCTTTACCATTTTCTTCTTCAGGATCGTCAATCAAAATTCAATCAAAAAGTTAGTTTCAACATTTTTCCAGAGTTGAAGAGTTGATCTTGGCCCAGAACTCAGCACACCGATAAACAACATGTTTCATTTTTGAAGATTTCAGAATTTCGGGAACACTTTTGGATTAATTCATCTCCTGTAATAACAGATGTCTTCAGAATGCTCCTCTATAATGTCTTGAATATCTTTATTACTCCCTGGTCTGAATTAAGCTCGTTATATTTGGTGGCAAAAATATAACAATTATCACTATTGTGTAGATTTTGAGGGTGAGTTGGCGCATTGTCAATAAACAAAAATGCTTTGATGGGATGGTTTTTTTTTTCATTTTAAACAGGATTTTACACTTGGGATGAATTCATTTTCGAATCATTCTGAAAATAAAGTGGTCGACATCCATGAGGTTTTTTGACTTCTATAAAAAACTGGAAGTGATTTTTCCTCAAATATCTTTTAGAGCTCTTAGTTTTTTTTATTTCCCAACACACGTCGGCATCAACCGGTGAGTGAAATTAATGGAATTGTTTACGTTTTGCGATAAAAGTTTACTTTTTATTGATGAAATTATTGAAACTGTCAGCCGTTTCGGTTAAACGATATTTTGGTTAAAGCAGGTTTTACTGTATTAACAAATTGGAAGTATGT